CCCGCCGCGCATTGTTCGGCCCCGGGGGGAGCCGGCCCGGAGGTGCGCGCCGGGGGGGTCGCTATGGAGACGCGGGGGCGCGGCCGCGGCGGGGGAGCCAGAGGGGCCCCGTTCGGAACCGCGGCTGCCGCTGGGCGCAGTTACACATTTACAGCGGGACGCACGGAGGCTGAAATGCGCTGCCCCGACCCAAACTTCCCTGGACTTTGAAGCCCAACAGGCGGCGAACCGGAGTAGGGTCCCGCTTGGTTTACAGAGCAATTTTTAAACCAAAAGAAAAACAACTTGGTTGACATTTGGGACTTGAAGGGGACGGCGGAGGCGAGCTCGTCCGGTCCCAGAGTCCGCGGCTGCTCCCGAAGCGCGACCGCCCAGATTGCGGGCCCTGGAGGCAGCCACCTGGGGGGAGCTGGGGGGAGCAGGTTAGAATTGTGTGACAGCCCCCCAGTGTCCTGAGAGGACGGCTGCGGGGACCCAGGGAGCGGGATGGGGGAGGTTGTTTAAACCTGCGAGACGCCTACGCCCCTCCTCCTGAGGGGCACTGCCTGGGGGTAGGGGCTCGGGGGTGGGACTGTGCGACATCTCCCTTGCTGTGCAGCTTTGGGACTGTGCCGCCTCCGGATAGGGAGAGGACGCACTTTCCCTCCGTGGAGCTGTGGGTGCCGGAACACTCCGAAACCCCTTAGGCCCCCCAGTCGTAGGGGGCTGGGGGGGCGGGTCTGTCGCCTTCTGAGAAGGCTCCGAAGCGGTAGGGATGGCAGTGTCGCGCAGAGTTGCTCTTTTTGACCAAGGAGAGTCGGGTCCGGTCACTGCATTTACGAGATGGGATCTGACGGGTATGGTCGCGACGAGGAGCCTGAGCTGCTGTAGAGACCGGGTGGAGCTTCTCCTCGGGCTACACATAAACCAATTTTTATCTAAGTTGATAAAAACGATGTCTTTGGTTTAAAACCCAATATGACCATTTTCTTCCCATTAGCAACTATTTGAAGTCGTTATATTGACCTAAAAGGTAGAGTCGCTTTTAATTCTGGAAGTTTCTGCTGGCAAGTCCTGTTGGGAAATGTGTGCATGGAGGGAAGGGGGAGGAAGCAGAAAAGTCCATCCCCTGAATGTGACCAGTCCAGACCCCCTAGACTGCCCTGCAACTTGGACCTCTCTGGAGAGGGTCAAAGGGCAGGAATTCAAAGTCAAGAAGTCAGGGAGGACCCCTGAGCCGGGACTGGGGTGAAGGGGGGCCCGTGGGAGGGAAGCTGGAGAACCCCGGGAGTGCATATTTTGCAATCAGGCTTTAAATAGGGTGGGTTGGGTTTAAATAAACAAAATTCAAATGCAGAGAATGGATTCGGGTGTGGGCACGCTTTCCTGGAATAGGACACCTGCAGACTGCAAGGTAACCACAGGGACAGCCCGGCACCCTTTCCTGGTCCAAGGGCCAGGCCAGAAACACACAGGCGAATCTCACTAACAGGATGTCCAGCAAAGGTCCGAGGATTCCATTCACACATAGATCAAAAGCGAGCCTAACCACCTCACTGTGTGATATGTTTAGGAGTGCACGCAGTGGGGCAGGGGGTGTCCACTTCTGGACCTAAGATTACGGGAGTGTGGGCCTTGTGATCATACACTGACCTTGGCATGCAATGCTTTCTGCACTTTTCCCGGTGCATGCACGCTAGAGTCCACGATTTTAGAGGGGGAGGGGAGGGACTAGGAATAAAAAGACTGGCTGCAGCTTGTGATGGGACCACAGCATGGTCCAGTTGCATCAGCAGGACAGAAACGACGAATCTGAAGTGAGTGGAGCCTTCAAGGGCTTGCGTTCCCATTCTACCAGTAACTGATTGTGCAACCTTCACCAAGGCCTAACTCCTCATTCTAACTGGACGTGATAGTAGTCCTAGATTCCCAACGTTGTGGAAGGGGTAACAAGACAATCTGCTTAAAGAGGCGGGCAGGGGGCCGGCTCTGTACGATCCGCTAGGGCTAGCCTTTACTGTCGCTGCTGCGCCTTGCTGTTACCCAGCGCGAGCCCACAGTTGCCCCAGCGCTTCCTTCACTGCGTGAATTAAATGGCACAGTTGCGTGTTTGTGTTGGAGGAGAGGCAGGGGCTGCAGTTTTCATCCGATTTCCTGAGGGGTCTGTGCTGGCCCACTGATCCAGTCCACCCAATGTGTTTACAGATGGTGGAGCTGAGGCCCAGAGAGGGGAAGGGACATGCCTAGGGCTTTGTGAAGGGACGTGGCATGTGTGGTGTCCTCACCCAGCACCACTTGAGGGCTGCTGCCCAAGTCTGTGCCTCCCACAGGCCATCATCCTGCTCATACAGCCTTCCCCTTTGGGGGTGGCTTGGAGCCGAGGTCTCTCCTTCCCATACACCCACCTTCTCTAAGGACCACAGACCCATTCATTGAAACTCAGGGGCCTCTCCGAGGGGGCTCTGAGAGTGGGGAGGAGTTTAGTAACAGTGCCCCAGGTCATTCCTGGCCTGTCCCCCTGAGAACCAGAAGAGGCTGCATGTGTAATGAGGCTTTATGTGCCTGGAACTGCTGCTGCTGCCACTCCCAGGGGCTCAGTGGATGGTGATTGATATTTGTATTTTGCACACGCCCTTAGGTGTTTCACGTGAAGCGAGTGTTTTTAAAAATAAATATGGAATTTTTTTTAAGGCAGAAGCTATGGATTTCTAGTGTTGTTGCATGTTGTAAAAAGCAGCTTAAAATGTTTCTTGCCAGGGGCTGGAACCAGAACTCACATGAATTCTGGAATCTGTTCCTTACACAATAAATTCCTGGGCCAGTTCTTCCCCCCCCCACCTTGAACTGACATTATGATTTTGTAAGTGTAAATTTTACAAAGTGCTTTACAATTAACGCTCATATCCTTGTGCGTGTCCGTCATGGATTTCCACCTCATGCAGTGGCTCTGAGCATGCTTGACGCCTGGGCCGGTTTTTAAACCGTGAGGAGCCACAGGAAATCGCCCCATCGATGAAAGCTGAGAAGCCAGTCTGGGCCGGCCTCCACTTTGCCCTTTTTTTGGAATTCAGAGAGAAAAACCTCTTGGGAACAGAACTCATTACCCCTCTCTCTCCTCCCCACCCCTTACATTTGGTGGGGTCTGACTCACGGAAAATTGTGAAAGTTAAGACATGAAACAAAAAGTTAAGACATGGAATAGAAATGGGACCCTGACTTAATTAGAATGTAATAGGGAATTTAGATCCTAATCAAGCACATTTTGTGTGCTGGTGCTTCCCTGAGAGACCAGGATAATGTTATGACAAAAAAGGAAACAATGTTTTCCTGCTTGGAAGTTGCCAGAACCTGTCTAGATACAAATACTGGGATTTCTTTCTTCTGCACTTGTGTGTGTGGCTATCCCGGGCCCCTGGGTCATGGCCCCTCCTGAGAGCATGTGTCCCACAGGTGCTCCATGAGATGCCAGCACCTGACCAACCAGTCCCCTGCTTTTGGGAATGCCTTCCAAGAAGGCATCAAGGAAAGGCTCCAAGAAGGTTAGCTGGCATGCACAGGGTCTAGAGAATCGATCTCCAGCCTAAACAGAAATACTGTGAACGCAGGGTGGGCACAGGTCTCGTATCCAGAACTGTCCTTACGTCCTTCTAGGAGCCTGGGTGGGGAGGGAGGACAAGGCGTTCCATGCTCGGACACACAGCCACCCTGCCAGGCCCCAACAGGTCCACCAGGCCTATCTCAGGGCTGCACCGGCCCCTAGTGGCCGAGCACAGTTGCTGCCCCAGCCGGGAGCCTCTCTCCCTGCTCAGGTGCAGAGACTGACGGACCCCCAGCCACGGCATTGAGAGTGGCACCATGTGCACGTGTGCACACATACTGTGCCTGCTGGCCCTGAGCAGTGCCAGCCACACAGCCTCCTGATCACACTGGCCGCTGCTCCTAGGCCCCCTAAACCCCTCGCTTTCTGCAGGGTGAGCATGCACAGCTCACGTGGACACACTGCAAGTTGAGGCTCAGCATGCACAGCCTGGGGGAGGGTCTACCCCTGCACCCAGGAACAAGCACGAAGGGCCAGGTCCCAGCGCACAAGCACCCCAAGGGCACAGGTGCTGCACTGGGGGGCGGTGGCTGGGATGTGGGCCGAGAAGGACTCCCAAGGGCTGAGGAAGGCTACAAAGGGCAGGGACAGAGCCCAGTGGAGACTGACTTCCTGCTCGGGAAATGAACATGCAGCTCACACCCAGAAAAGGGTCCACAACCCTCCGAGCAGACAGTGCCACATGTCCTCGTTTCAATCATTACCGTCTTCCTCGTCGTCATCGCCGTTGTTTCCTGGCCCCCACTTGATACACATGAACATTATCATGAAACCAGAATAGGGGAAAGCACCATCGTCTTCCTTAATCATTTTTCTCCTTTATATAACTCCCTGCCCTTTTCTTAAAAAAGAGATACACTTCACCATACCATAAATGTTACCCTATTTAAAGTGTAGGATTCAGTGGTTTTTGGTATATTTAAGAAGTTGTGCAAATATCACCACCATTTAATTCCAGAGCATTTACATCACCCCAAAAAGAAACCCCGCCATCATCTCCCACGTCCTCCACCACCCCAGTCCCCACCCCAGTCCCTGGCAACCACTAATCTTTCCGTCTCTGTGCATGTTCCTATTCTGGACGTTTCATGTCAATGGAATCACATACTCTGTGGCATTTGGTGCCTGACGGCTTTCACTTAGCATCACGTTTTCAAGGTTCACTCACATCATAGAGTGAATCAGTGCTTCATTCCTTTTCAAGGCTGAGTAATGTTCCACAGCAGGGACACACCACGGGTCATCCATTTGTCAGTTGTGGACATCTGGGTTGTTTCTACTTTCTGATTATTTTGAACAACTTCCCTTCCTTTTGAGTGGAGGAAAAAGGGGCAAGACTCTGTTCTGAGAATTTTCATACCAAATCTTTTTTGAAATTATTCTTTATTTTCAGATTTGGACTGGGTAACCAACAACCACACTGTCATCCATGGCTCCCCAGGGACTTTCCTTGGGGACTTTCCTTGATCCCTTCTGGGTACAGGGAGGGGCACTAAAGCTGCCCTGGAACAGGATTGGCAGAGTGAAGTGGGGAAGCCAGTGGCCTCTGCTTTCTTGCCCCTCCCCAGCACCACTGGCCATCCCCCAAAGCTCGTGGCTGGACGGGAGGGCCACTTGACGGGCAATACTCCAGTGGCCTGGTCCCGCCCCCTGGTCTGGGGCTCACGTTCTGCCTGGAATGGGGAGGCGAGGGCACCCCGGCAGCAGAACCCATGATCATAGTACCCTACACCTGCTTCTTCCTCCCTTCATGCATGCATTCATTCAATATTCATTCAATACCACAGACAACACCCCTGATCTCATGGAGAGGTTGTTCCCACAGGGGAATACAGGCAGTAAATATAGGGAAATATACAACTTCAGGTGGAGAAAATAAAGAATAAGGGGAGGAGAGCAAAGAGAGGGCTGTTCGGGGTGGGTGGATCTGGGAAGGTTTTGGCCAGGGGATGAGGGGGCAGAGACTGCAGGGGTGACCACCTGGGGAGGCACATTTTGAGCAGCAGGGAGGACAGCACGTGCAAAGGCCCTGGGGCAGGAGCACAAGTGTTTGGGCCAGTGTGGGAGAGGACGATGGGGCACTGGACCACGGCCGGGGCTTGTTCCTCCTGCTGCGTCTGATGGGAGGGCACCAGGCAGCTGGGAGCAGGAGAGCACGTGATGCCATTTGTGCTTCCAAACTGCCACTCTGGCTGACAGGATGGAGAGGCCCGAGAGGCCACAAGACAGGCATGCTGCTGGGGACTGATGGGGCCTGCGGAGGAGGCAGAAGTGGTTGCACTTGGATGGAGGTTGGAGGTGAGTCAGCAGGACTTGCCTGTGAGTGGAGGTGAGGGGATGAAAGAAACAGACATGTCAAGGTCCCCCCCCCCCCCCGGGGGGTCCGGGGGGGGGGGGGGGGGGGGTGAAAGAAACAGACATGTCAACGCCCCCCCCCCCCCCGTGAGGGCCAGCGGTGGGGCTGTCGGTGATCCGAGTAACGGTGGGCTGGTGTGTCCCCTCCTCCCTTCCTCCACTCCACGGAGACCATGAAGCCTTCCCCACCACGGAGCCTTACAGTAGGGCCCCGGCGCATCGGGGAGGACACCGGGCGCGGTGTGCGGAGAAGGCAGGGGTGGAGCGTCCCCAGAGTCTCCCTCCGGGAGCTCCACCTGCCTGCTTCCCTGGGGACGGAGGAGGCGGCCCAGCCGGCGCCGTGCACCTCGGTGGCTGGAACCCTCCTCCTTTATTTTTCCTTCTCAGCTCGGAAAGCATTTCTGGGGTGCGGTGGAGAGGGGGAGGGGATTGTGGGCAAGAAAATGCAATGATTCTGCAGGAATGGGGGAGACCCAGACAAGGTCAAGACAGTGCCCCATCCCTAGTTATATCTTCTTTGTTTTTAGTGGCTGGCCAGTATGGGGATCTGAACCCTTGATTTTAAATCTTCTCTAAAGATAAAAATAATAAAGAAAAAGAAAGACTACAGCACTAGGGTCCCAAAGCTTGGGAGCCAGTCCTGGTTCCTCTGCCACCTCCTCCTCGTGAGTCTCCCTCTCAGGACCTCAGTGTGCACATGTTGGAGACAAAGTCACAGTGTGAGGTGGCAGATCGTACATGAGAAGGGCCCGACTGCAGCAAGCAGTGGCTTAAAGATCGTGGTTATTTTTGCCACTGTTACAATGGCATGTCCACTCCTCCGGCCACTCTCATGGCACTCAGCACAGCCTCCCTACGTGACATGGTGGCAACCAAGCACAGGCTTCTGGCTCTGATCACCCGGAGGGAGTGCAGAAGGGCACTGCCAAGAGGCCAGGGAAGGGAGCCGGCCTCTCCAGATGCTGGGGCAGGACATGGGACAGAGGGCTGCCCCATCAAATAGGGGTGCCTGGCCCTGAGGCCAAAGAAACCAGTCACCTGTGCACCTACCCTAGGGCTTGGGAGGCTGTCAGCCAGGTCCCAGAGTGGAGTCTGGAAGAGTCCCAAATTTCAGGGAGCGTGGGAACTTTGGCCGTCTGGCAGTAGGGAGTGAAGGGGGCTGGGGGAGATGCACAGCTGTCTGAGGCCAGTGTTGCCTCCCAGCCAGAGGTGCCAGCCCTGAGGAGCCACCAGCACTAAGGGCTGCTGATTGCCAGTCTTGCCAGGGAGAAGAGGCGAGCTAAGGAAGCCCTCATTTCCTGGAGGACTCTTCCTTTCAAGGTCAACAGAGATCCCCTGGGGGAAAGCTGGCCTGAGGTCAGCTGGGGTATGCAGGGACAGCTCCATCAGCCGGACGCTGGCCCGTACCCAGGCAGCAGGCGGGCCCCGGGGCCCCAGCAGCACTGCTGGCATAGGAGGGCCCTCCCATGGGGCAGGAACCGATGATTCATGCCCTGCTGGAATTCGTTGAGCGTGCTGAGATCTGCAGCTGCTCCAAGGAAGTCAGACCCTGCCCTGATCAAAAGGGAAGAAGATGGATGAGGACACCGTAAACAGGCCAGAGCCATCAGGCTGGCCTCCGGGATGCAGGAGGGGCACGTTCTAGGAGCCCATGAAGCTAAGGAACTCCAAATCCAGGTTGACATCCGTGGCACAGTGCCACCTGCTTCAGGGGGACGTGGGGAGCAAGGAGGAGCTATTGGCAGAGCGTTCAGTTCCTGCAAGTTCTAACTTCTGCTAAAATTGGTCAACTGGTTGCTTTGCATGATTCAGGCAGGGCACATACACTTCTCTCTCCACAAAATTCACTCACTTCCCCCTTTCCCCAGAAAAAGGGACTTGGCTCCGTTTCTCCAGCCTCTTACCTCTGCAGAATCGACAGTGGATATGTTTGCTGGGGCCTCTGTCCCTGTCATCTGAGAAGGGTGTCAGAGCAGGGACCACTGGGCGGTGACTTGGGAGGCCTGGTGGTGGGCTTGGGCAAGTCCCTTCTCGTCTCTGGGCCTCAGTCTCCTCCTCTGTGAAATGGGGTGCATTAGTTTCCTGTGACTGACAACAAAACCCTACAAGCTAGTAGCTGAAAACAGCAGACATTTATTTTCTTATAGTTCCGGAGGTCAGAGGTCTGAAATGGGTCTCACTAAGTGGGCTACGGTCCACGTGGCAGCAGGGGTGCAGCCCTTCCAGAGTCTCTGGGGGGATCCCTTCTCTTGCCTCTTCCAGGTGCTTGAGGTCCCCGGCATTCCATGGCTCGTGTCCCCTTCCTCCACCTTTAAAGCCGGCCGTAGCCAGTCAAGTCTTTCTCATGTCACATCTCTCTGAAGTGATTCTTCTGCCCACCCTTCCCCCTTTAAGGACCCTTCTGATTACACTAGACCCACCCAGTTAATCCAGGATAATCTCCCATCCCAAGTTCACCTGGCTGGCAGTCTTAATCCCACCAGCATGCTTAATTCCTTGTGCTGTGTAGCGACATATTCACGGGTTTGGTGACTGGGACATCTCTGGAGGACAGTGTTCTGCCATCCAGGGGAGGGGGCTGAGTCAGGTTCTGCAAGGAGCCGGTGCGCACACAGGCTGCCAGAATGGAACGGGGCTGTGTGTGGACAGACACGAGACGCATCCATTCACCGGCAGTCGCCCTCGGCCAGGGCGCTCGTGGGAGGAGCGGTGGGCCTTTGTTCCAGAGTGCAGGCCAGGAGCATTCATTCCTAAGGCTGGCCTCCGAGAGGTGCTCACTGTGACCCCCAAACCCTCCCCACACTTCAGAGATGCTTCCCGGGGACAAGGTGTGGGGGGAGGTGCACCATTTCATCTGGGCCACACACCACTGTGGTGGGCCCGCCCTGTGCCAGCCCTTTCCCCCCCCCTGTGCTGGCCACGGGGCCCAACTGATCAGATGTGCCAGCCTGCCCTTGCCGGGTTCAGCCCACTGAGGGACAGACAAGCACATGGACTAGCTAAGATGCCATGGGGTAAAACCAGGGGACACGGTCACTCCAAAGAGAAAATGTTGTTGATACAGGGGGCCACTCCAGCTCCTGGCTGAGGCTCCCCAAAATCTGTGACCAGGCACAGGTCCAGCTGCCTGCCCCCTTTCGAAAGCAAACCCCTCAAAAGCCAAATGTTGGTGAAAATGGAAGTCAGCCTTTATTCAGGAACACTGGTGACCTGAGGAGAGATGTTAGGCCAGCCCACCTGTCTGGTAAGCCTGAAGGGCCAGGCTAAAGCCACCTCAGAGACTCAGGTTACTGAGGGGTTTTTTTTTGTCTTTTTTTTGTCTTTTTCCGTGTCCGGCAATGGATCGCAACCCTCAGTGTTGCCCCCA